CGGCCAATAGATGACGAACAAAATTACCGTATTTCAAGAACTTTTGTACACATCCCTCTTCAATACAGTCATATAAAGCCATATGTGGGTCATCAGCGTCTTTGACTGTATCTTCATCCTTTTGTTTTGTTGATTTATCAGATTTTGGTAGTGTGGTTGTTCGTGTTGTATGTGACCATTGGATACTAGTGGGTTCTTTAACACAATCAATCAGGCTAATTGTTGGAGCTTGTTGAATTAAATCTTTCCATGGTATTAATTTTCCATCACCTATTTGCCAAGCTCGATGTACTCGCACACCAGATGGCTCAAATTCAAAATTATTCAATGTAGTTATACCTGAGAATTTGTATTTATTCTTTTCATTTGTGGCTATAAGGCGAGATTCAATTACTTGCATGTCATTTATCCCACCATATGAACGACATGCATGAACAAATTCTTCAGCAGTTGTTATATTATGTTTTTCGTTCAAATATCTTCTGATATGAGATTTAATGACCGCAGCAAAACGATCACACGCACCTAAATGAGAAAAAAATTAGTGAGAAAACATTAACTCGCATTGGTATAATCAACATGATCAATTCATTACCTTTTCCTCCTTGTGGATCCGAAAAATCTATCCGTTTTATTGTAATGCCTGTTGCTTTTGATATCTGTGGTAATGATATTAGTGTCTGAGCGCAGTGGTAGCAACCAGCATTGTCCGATCTGATATAGGCTTCTTTGGTTTGCGGATCATTTGATTTAGCTCTTTTCAATATATCTTGTATAATTGCTGTAACTGTTTCGCTATCTTGTGTACAATGATCGAACACATGTACAAAAACCGTATTTTCACATTGGTGCGAAACGTCTGATTCATTATTACTTTGATCGATAAATATAATCAAAAACGACTTACGTCAAAACCGATTAGCCTAGAGAACAAGAACAGTCCTGTCTTCAAAGATATGTCAAATATTACAATATTACATGCTTTGTCTGATTTTTCATCATATCAGATGAACCAATGTCTCCAGTTAATATTTTCTCCAGCATAAAACTTGACAGTTCGTCCCATGGTTTGTCAACATCGGAAAAAAACAAAATTCACCCGAAGATAAAATTCAACAAACAGAAAGTTGTGAAAAAAATCATGAAAAACAAGAAAACCAAAAGACAGGTGGTATTTCACTAAAAGGTTCATCATTTCCCTCATACACATACTATTTTTTTAGTAGAGCCAAAAAGTCATCGCGTTCAGGAGAAATCTTTACCGAAGACTCTTAAGAGATAGTCCATTTGGTCAATTGGTAAAATTGCGAAACCTTAACTGCTCCTCTGGCCAGATTTTCAAAGATCCTCCGTTTTTTGAGGCAAAACTGCGCTTTCTGCATCTTAACTTCTGAAAATTCTCAACTTGGAAAACACCTCTCGATTTGCACTAGAATTATCAAAAATCTCAACTTGCAAAACAAACCTCGATTTGCACCGGAATTCTGAAAGTTTTGAAAATTCTCAACTACAAAAACAAGTCTCGTTTAGCACCAGAATCCTCAAAATTTAATCAAAATTTAGTTTTGGCACTAGAATTCTCAAAATTCTCACCTTTCGAAACAAATCACGCTTTCCACTAGAATTGTCAAAATCCGCAAACTCCTTAGCTTGCCAAACAAATCTCGATTTGCACTAGAATTGTCAAAACTCACAAAGTCCCGAACTGGCAAAACAAGTCTAATTCTAGAAATTCTCAACTTGCAAAACAATTAAAGATTTGCACTAGAATTTTCAAAACTCTCAACTTGAAAAACAAGTCTCGATTTCCGTTGGATTTGCCAAAATTCTCAAAATCTTGAAACTTGCAAAACACGTCTATATTTGCACTACAATTCTCCCAATTCTCAACTTGCACAAAAAGTCTCGATATGCAACAGAATTCTTGAAATTATCAACTTGCAATACAATTAAAGATTTGCCTTACAATTTTCCAATTCTCAACTTGCGAAATAAGTCTCGATCTGCACCAGAAATCTTAAACCTCTGAAAATTGTCAACTTGCAAAACACGTCTCGATTTGCAGTGAAATTCTCAAAATTCTCAACTTCAGAACAAGCCCCGATTTCAACTAGACAAGTGGCAAAACAAGTCTTGATTTGCAACAGAATACTTAAAATTATCAACTTGCACTACAGTTAAAGATTTGCACTAGATTTCCCAAAATTCTCAAAATCCTAAACTTGCAAAGCAACTCTCGATTTACAATAGAATTCTTGAAATTATCAACTTGCAATACAATTAAAGATTTGCACTAAAATTTGCCAATTCTTAAGTTACAACACAAGTCTCGACTTGCACCAGAATTCTGAAAATTCTCAGAATCCTGAACTTCAAGAACAAGTCTCTATTTCTGCTAGGTTTCTCAAAATTAGCAAAATTATGAAGGAAAATTCTGAAAATTCTCAGCTAGTCTCGATTTACTTTACAACTTCAAAATTCGCAAAATCGTGAACTTGAAAAACAAGTCTCTTTTTGCACTAGAATTGTCAAAAATTCACAAAGTTCTGAACTGGCAAAACAAGTCTTGATTTGCAATAGAATTCTCACCATTATCAACAAGCAAAACAACGCTCGATCTGCAGTAGAATTCTCAAACTTCTCAAAATCCTGAAGTTGAAAAACAAGTTCTAGATTTGCACCAGAATTCTGGAAAGTCTGCAAATTCTCAACTTGCAATACAATTAAAGATTAGCACTAGGATTATCCAATTCTGAATTTGGAAAACAACCCTCGATTTGTACTAGAATTCTCAACTTGCACCAGAATTGTGAAAAGTCTGAAAATTCTCAACCTGCAAAACAAGTCTCGTTTTGCACTAGAAATCTTGATATTATCAACTTGCAATACAATTAATCGATGCAATACTTCTTTTGAATTCGTTTCAAAATTTTTGAAACTTTATTTTTCGACTTTATCTCTTAAATTGGTTGAGAAAATTAAAATTTAATTTCGCATCTACAATAGAAAAGGGCTCTCTATATCGAGCGACGCCTATTAGAAAAATGCTTATATCTCTTGAATGAAACAACCGTTTGAGCTGAAAGTTTCAGACTATTCCTAATTATGTTTGATCTCGATACTCTAAAAGTTTCAGCGTAATCGGAGACACCTTGGATGGAACTTAATTGTGGCTCTCGTGCAATGACTCATAGGCTGTTGCCCAAAATGGCATTATATTTCCAATAGAACCTGCCATCGAGGAAATGACGACGAATTTAAGCGCACCGGTCAGACTCTTTTTCAGCAAAGGGTAAAGTGCTTGGAAGAGAATTAGAGGACCGATAACATTGACTTCGTAACCTTTTGACTTGGTTTAGTAACAGCTGGATCACGGTGCTTACTAATACCGAAGCTTACTAATACGAATGGAAACATAGGTAATCAACCACGCTGAACTTATTTGAAAAATAAATGTTGCCACGAGATTCAGCGTTATCGGTCCTCTAATTCTGCTGGTTACGAAGTCAACGTTATCGGTCCTCTAATTCTCTTCCAAGCACTTTACCCTTTGCTGAAAGAGAGTCCAACCGGATTATAGTCTTGCTCTAGTGCTATTAACCTAGTATGAAATATTGTCAAACGGAAAATTTGATAAAAGAATCCAAAAGTCACATGGCGCTGGATCAAGTATGCAATGACCTACCAATAAATGTTATTCAACGATATATTAAAAAGACTCAAACACTATATCAACAGTTTGTATCTTCATATTAGATTTTTATTTGTATTATAAACATCTATACTTGTACTATTCATATATATCCAGCGAAACCATAAACTCTATAGTTTAGATCAAAAATAGGTGTAGCATTAATTTTATCCTTGGTAGTTTCCTTCCCTTTCGTTATAATAATTTGCATTTTCCTATTCTTTTGTTTTCGTTTTGGTTGCTATCAGCATATTTTTGGTCCGAAAAACTAGAATATCAAAACGGAAAGGATATAAAATATGTTCTTTCCTTCTGTTATTACGCAACTTGAAACTATGGACCAAAACACAGTGGGCATTCAGGTGGCCATTGGGGAAAAAAGGCGAAGTTCACTTTTTTCTCATTTGAATATCACATCATCTACTTCATTTCGTGGGCTATTTAACGGCAAAAAAAACTTTTGTCCAAAGCCATTTTTCCGCAGAGAAATGCCCGATGGAAAATTCTCTGTAAAATATGGTAACTATTTAGGAAAAGTGACTTTTCTTCATAAAAATTCGGTTGTAAATGCAACCTAAGGACATATTCAGAATCAGTGGAATCTGTTCTATTCAACACCGTGCAAAAACTTCATCTTGTATAATAAAACAATTGTCATTATGTTACCTTTTTAGGATCCTGACGAGTAATAATAGTAGATTGATATCTTTTTACTAACATGACAATTATCTGCTTAATTTCTCATGCATAGCTTCCTACAAAAAGTCAGTTTCATGTAGTATGTTTGTTCGCCTTGTCGTAATTAAAAAAATAAACAATACTAAAAATTGGCTCTACTGACATTCATATTCACAAGGAAGCACTTCGTCGTAATCCTAAACAGGACTGGACAGGTAAGATGTTTCGTCTTCTAAGCTAAGTCCATTGTTCGAAGACTAATTCTGAGTGTTTAACATCTGTATAACAGCTGTTTTGAGTATGGCTAACGTGAGTGCGTCCCAATCTATATGTGTGTAGTCCCAGACGGTACGCGTTTGTTTAGAACGATGCGTGTCTGCCTCAAGAAATGCTCTTACAGTATGATGGCCTAGGTGGTCTGGACTTCGTACAAAATCGGAATATCTACTTGGATATTGAAAACGAGGCTAGGATGATTCGTTATAACTGGATCAAGCAAAGAATGCTTATTGAAATAAAAATACGTTAGCTGCTTAACTAATTATGTGGGATTGTTCAGTAAGAGAAAGTGTACTAGATCACTACCCTCCTTAGTATCCACATCAGATGAATGAAAGCTACTGTGGCGAGAGTTACAGCCCCCAAGTAAACAAATGCTAGTGTTAAATGGTACTTGGTCAAGATATTTCTGTAGGTATAACACTAAATTTTCATGGTTACAGTACATTTTGTTTGATGAAGCATAAACTAGTGCGATATGGATGGGTTTATTCTCAGTTCAGAGTGGGCGGATTATGGCACTTTCATCCACCACACTTTCGCCATTATGATGAACGTACTTTGGTCATACATGACGAAAGTGCCTTGGGTGGAGGTACTCCTCGGGAACTGTCATCACCAAAGTGTGAATTTTCGTCACACACACCAAAACTTTCGATGCTTGCGGCGAATTTTCGTCACAGTAGTGGGGAACTTTGGTCACATTTAAAGAACGTTAAATGCAGTACTTCCTTAGCAGGTGGTTACCGAGTAAGTTCATAAGTTTTGAACAATAAATCTTTGTTCACTGTAAGTTACAATTTATGTAGAAGTGAATTTTCGTCACAGCCACAAAAAGCACTCCGAAAACGTATATATACGTCACTATTTACTCTATCAGTACTCGCTAAGGAAGTACTGCAGTGTAGTAAATACTAAGTGCAGCTCTTACTGAGGGAGCGCTCTTTTTCGTCAGAGCGCGGTATTTTCGTCACACTGGACGGAACTTTCGTCATCAAAGTGTGAATTTTCGTCACAGCCACAAAAAGCACTCCGAAATTCACGGGAACTTACGTCACTAGGCTTTTTTTCTGAAAAACGCACTTTCATCACATGTGACGGAAGTACACCTCCCCCTATGACGAAAGTGCCTTTTACCGATAAAACTGAAAGTTTTGCACGTAAGGGAAGTTAGCAGCATATTTCTATATTTTCGCCTACCGTTTTTTATTAAAGCTCGGCCATCTCTAGAAATAAGTGTGCCAGATAGAACTCGATGAGCTCTATCGAATGGCGAAATCAGTTTTCGAGAATAGTGTTGTCTGGAAATACAAGTTCCTGTCAATTTTGATTCACGCTGAAAAAGAGGAAGTGTCCCGCTTGAACGAAAAAAATCACAAGGTGACGTGTAAGTAATAAGGAGTGCGTGAGGAAGTGTGTTACAAACAAAAAACAACTCGACACATTCATTTATAAGTAATTAAATACTCCGCATACGATTGTGCATCGCGGTTTGGAAATGTTTGATTTAGTCTTTTAGATTAGATTGATAATGTAGTTTTTAATTTAAGTACATCCATATAATATTATAAACCTGTTTTTATAATTAGGCCTCCGAAATTACAAGATAAACAATCAGCTTCAACGACACGTGACAGTAACAGTCTATCAAAATAGTTTAAAAAAGATGAAAATAATAACGATTATAGTGATAATAATAATACAGATAATAAAGAGATTGGAGATGAAAATGGTATTAAACCAACCATCACAACAGTAACACTATAAAGTTCTTTTTCAATGACAACTGACGCAAGCATGCATTCTGAGAACGATTTTATCGAAAACAGTATTATTACAGGGAATGAAAGATCATGTTTAAATGAACAGTTAAATGTATTGAAAAACATGTGACATATTCATTATTATGTATGGAATCAATTAGCAAAATTGAGCACGATCGTGAAAATATAACGATAATTAACGCAAAAAATAATGAACTAGTTAACAGAGATCCAGGTAATACTCGAAATGGTTGAGGTGTTCTTCTGCTGATAATCGCTCATATCTTATTCATTAGAATACCTTTTCCTTTTAAGGCAATTATAAATCAGGTCACATATTGACAGAAGAAGAATTAAGATATCTTGTACCTGTTGATCCATCGCAGTCTATTCTATAACACTATCCAACAAATGATATACTTGATGATATATTTCAGAATTTTAGAATTTCAGAATTTCGTAGTTATACTTATGCCAACTGCAATCTTTACACTTGCATACAATATTATAGTTTCAGAATTTTAGAATTTCGGAATTTCACAATTTCAGAATATCAAAATTATACTTATACCGAGTGCAATCTTATATGGTTGATAAGAACAAACGTGTACAAGCGTGCCTTAATAATAAATTAAATCGTGAAGTTATATATATTCCTTGTGGAGCTCATGCATTAAATCTGGTGGTGAAACACTCATGGGCATGTAGCACCGAATATATTAATCTATTTAACTGATTACAAGAAATGTACAACTTTATTACCCATAGTGTTAAACGTTTTCAGGTATCTCGTAAGCAGATTAATGAAGCACCATATGGTTTATTACTAAAAAGTTCAGCAAGTGCTTGATGTTGCGTATCATTTATCAATATCAGTTTCCATAATAATCGTTAAACTGTTAATTAATACATGATACGATTCATAAACAGCGATTATTATGGAAATGGTGCATTTACAAATCACTTGAGGAGTGGTTGTAGTATAGATTAGCTTTTCTGATTTACGTCCATAGTCTCGGAGTCATCTGTTCACCGCTCGGTTTGGAGCTTTATTCTGCTAATTATAACTTTTAGCGTCTTTTTGTATCTGGTTTGATGCATGAATCTTCAGTATCCATCTTTTTCTTGGCAGAATTCTGTAACAATCATATCTTTCAAATGCATGCTTACTTTCATGGAAACTTTAAATGAAATATGCAATAGTCCGGTTAATTCTCTAGGCTTCTGGCAACCTCAGTTTGTCTGAAATTCTCTACTTATCCTCTGTGAGAAAAACATTTGAACGACCGATCTGGTGAGCCAACACTGGTGATTCACCACCAACGACATATCGTTGAGTTGACGAATGAAGGAGAACTAAGAATGCGTGCGTCCACAGCTGCATGGAATTAGGTAGAAAGAAATGTCTAGTGGAAAGGCACGATACCCGGCTGTCGGAAGAATACTAATGGGAGACTGAAGCAACTGGTATTGGAAGCCAATGAAAGTTTAAAAATATTTACTTCTAAGAAATAATTACTCTGTCAGATTGGCACGGCTCCGGTGCGAAACGGACCAAGTCATTGTCAACAAGTGCCGGAATGACACCGGTATCGAGCGTTACCGATAAATATATATATATCTTCTGAAAAAGTGTTGCACTGAGTTTTTTCAGTGCCGCACTGGAATTTATTTAATCAGTAATTAGTTTTTTTATTATCGTTGCTTCCGGTAATTTTGTATTAATTAGAGCGTGGCATCGCCTGATATTAGCACCCGGAAATTCATTCTGCAAATTCGATCTTTTCGCTTAACATGTTGAAAGAGGAAAAGTCTTTGAACTTTTTGCATCTGGATATAATAAGCATATGATTTTGTTTCAAAATAAAAGGGTTCTAACCCAAAATGTTTAATCTCGGAAGAGTTATGAGGATTTTACACAATGGTGTGAAACTGCCATCTGAAATGATTATTTTTTGGTATAATGAGTAAAACTAAAAAAATTCTATTCTACCACAAAAAATGCAATTAATTTTATGCAAGAACTTCTAATCATATGTAGAAGATAGGGTTTTTTAAAGGATTGGCTCTCTGGATTTTTCAACAGCTCAACGAACCAATTAATGAAACCGTTTCCTCCGTTACTTATGTGACGTTTTAGAGCTTCTCACTATTATTCGTATAGCATGCATGCTATACGTGTAAAACATCCAAAGTGCTTTTTATAGATAATTTCAAGGCACATCTTTGAAATGGTGATGCTATGAGCGGCGAACCAGCTATACTAATTCCAGCGTCGTTCATTATTACGGACAATGAAACATTCGAACAAAGGCAAGTCAAAGTCGGGGACGTCGATGATAACGAGATTGACAAACCAGGTCAATCGGCAACTCAGGGCTGTAGAACGTATTCGTTTCCAATTGCAGACCGAACATTAAGAATTATTGATACACCTGGTGTGGGCGATACAAGAGGTTTACAACAAGATGAACATAATTTGGAGCAGATTATCTCTCATCTCAGTCGATATCAACATCTCAATGAAATCTGCATGTTACTGAAACCAAATGCATCGAGATTAAGCACATTTTTTCGTTTTTGTATCACTCAGTTATTATCATATTTGAATGTCAATGCAACAGACAATATTATATTTTGTTTTACGAATGCTCGCTCGACATTTTATTCTCCAGGGAATACAGCACCATTGCTCAAACAACTGTTGAGAGAACTACGCGAAGCATCTAAAATCGATATACAGTTCAGTAAACAAAATACATTTTGTTTCGACAATGAAGCATTTCGATGCTTAGCCACAGTAAAATCAAACTTGAAATTCGATAATAAGCAAGAAAATGAATGTTCTCGAAGCTGGGACGTATCTGTGAATGAGTCATTCCGGTTTATTCAATATGTTTTGTCCTGTGCTCCTTATAATTTACATGATACAATTGAATTTAATAAAATACGTAAGATCATTCTCGAATTAGCGAGACCTGTTTTAGAAGCTACGCGTACCATACAAATGAATCTAAAATGTCTCAACGATAAGAAACGTGAATTAAACACCTCAACATCGATACAAAAGAATGACAATCGTACCCCATATGTTGAACTTAAAAAAATATGTTTACAACAACCACGAACTGTATGCACTCACCCACGATGCGTCAGAGTAGTTCAGTCGGAGAATATCCCTGAAATTGATTATATTACCGTGTGTCACAATCCATGTTACGTGCCAGGTATTGAGCATAATACAATCCAAAATCCCTATATTGTCTACTGTGAAGTGTTTGCCACAAATAATGGCAGATGTTACCACTGTAACTGTTCTTGGGAACATCATATGCACATATATTATGAAACGAAACTATGTATGACATATTTAACCATTCCGAATACAAGTAATATTTATCCTGTACAAGAATTGGATAAACGAATAGAAAGTCTGAATGAAGAACAAAAGATTATTATTGAAATATCTACGAGATCTATTCAACATTTAAAACAAAATTCCATAACGGCGTTCAATGACCCATTCGCTGATTATATAAATTACTTTGTTAGCGAAGAAAGATTGAAATGTGACATGGGTGCGAACAATCAGTTTGTTTTGAATGGTTTAGAAAAAGTATAAGAATTATATATTCAAAAGTTAAAATCATCCACTAATTGAACAGCAACAACAGGAAAAGACGAAATAGTGAACCTTTTTCAAAAATTGTACAGTTTACCAAATAATGGTCCTTCAATAAAACAACAAACGGATTTAATGAAAACGATGCAAGTCAACGCATTGGGGAAAACTGAAAAAATAATCGATATTCATAAAGAACATAGCAATAACTCGATCGTTTCTAAATTAGTGACATTGTTCAGTGACAGTCAAAAAGAATCAGAGCTAAATCAGAAGCTTCTGAATTAACAAAGTTGTCTTTTTCTATCTTTTTACTCAATAGGTCTGTAACATGAGTAAGTTTTCAATTTTTACAGTATGAAAGACCGAACAGATTTTGATAAATTTCAGTACTTAAGAGTATTGAGACATGTTCTGTCCGATGGCTAATTCGAAATAATTTTTACAGTGCAGGGAGTAAGGATTTCAAAAAAGCAAGGTTTGTCACTCATCTATTTACATAAAATAATTTATTTTTTATTTTTTCTTCTATGCATCTACTTAGAACCGAATCACTTTTTATATAGAAAGATAGAGACGTTTTCGCGCTGCAAAAGGAGACGTCGTCGAGCTCTGAGCGACATTTTTTCAGGAAACGGCATTCAGTTTATAAGAAGGCCTAAAGGAATGTCTTTCTCGTTCTGCCGTTAATTTTGCTGGTATGCGACCTTTTGTAAATGAGTGCTGTTTCATGAAAAAGTATCGCACAGAGTGTGACGACGTCTCGTTTTGTTCAGAAATGTGTGCTCTACACGAATGGATTATTTAAAAAGAATTTCTTGTCCGCATTCCGTGTTTTAGTTTTATGACATTTTGGTTTTCCAGAGATCATGGCTTTGGAAATTTTTATAGAACCTTCACATACACCACATCAGCTTGGAAATTCTTTCGGCTATTTAAAGCTTTTTTAAGATGTTTTCTTCCTTTTATATTGAGGAGAAATACCTAAAACAAATCGTTTCTATAATTTTGTCCACTAATGCAAGTGAAAATGATGATATTTCTCTAGTATTTTGACAATTTCTATATGGGCATAGTTTCAGAAAGCTGATTTATAGCTCATCTTGCAGCGTAGAGAATTCTCTACCTGTTTGTATATGAGTTCTTGTCAAGTGAGCCTGAAATTATATGCAAACTTTGAGGAACAAAGTGAGTGACTATTGTTCAAATGATGACGAAAAATAAGAAGAAAGTTTATGTTCAAGGAGACTAAGAGCACTTTTTGAGGGTGGGAAGTGAAAACATATTTGTCACCAATTTCGCTGAAAATCATATTGGGCCATTTTCTTACAGAAACATTTCCCGTCCTTTCTTCATACACAAACAGCGTGTTGGTTGTTAACTAATAAAAATACTCATTTATAATCGAATAGATTAACGTGAGTAGTATTACTGATTTCGAAATGAGTAAATGGGATTAAAAGTGAAAAGTTTTTTGTACACCTGCTTATGAAATATACGATATCCTCCATAGTTAGAATGAGTATACTGGTATAACGAGAAACACTACTGAATTGTTCACTCATTGCCCTTCCCCAATCGGGCCCTTCACCCTCAGAAATTATCTCCGATTTTGGCTAAACTATCCATAAATGTTAGGTTTAATGAGTTAGTTACGGGAATGAAAAAACTTTTTTTGTCTCCAAGTCTTATGATTTAGGAGTTTTCCAGAATCAAAGTCCAAATAGGATCCTGAAGTTTCTACCAAGATTTTTTAATATACTTCAGGTTGGAGAGTTCGGATTTGTTTTATTTTAACACTTCACGGACGGGAAATGTATTTCTAGAATGGAGAACGCTTTTAATTTTTCAGAGAACGCAGATAAATAGGGATAGAAAAGAGAACGTATTTTGAATTAAAAATATTTAATTTTTACTATTTTTTCAATTACTAAACATATCTCTATACGGTTTCTGTGGTGTAATGGTACACTGTATGTCATGATATGTATATAGTGCTGATTCGATTCTAGTCAGAGGCCACGTATTTTTTTTCTCTTTTATGGAGTCATTGCTTTTCTTTTTTTGGAATGAAATTTTGGAAAAATTGATGTATTGTACTTACGGCCGTTTTGTACTGGGACACACTGATAACCAAATAAGTAATCATAAAATAATGAATAACCATATAAGGCAATCGCAAAAAAACTGTCTGAACAACATTCATATAAATATCGAGCCAACTATGTCTTTCATTAACTTTTTCACTTTATATCAAAAAATGGCAAGAAGAGTTTGGTCTTTTGCTGAAAATTTTTCTAATAATGATTTATTTAATGAATACATTAAACATAATTCAGTTTCCTAATTTCGTTCACAACAAACGTCATGTGGTTTAAAATTGACATATCGGTGTTCATCATATAAGAGGCAGTGCGCGGTACGGACGAACTAAGTTGTTCAATGAACTTTCACAATTTTTTCTCAAATTTTCGGAGCAGATAGCGAAATGTATCCTGGACATTTTTGTCTTTTGACATTCTTTTCCAAAGTGCTTTCCCTCGACGCTAGAGCGCTTGCAAAAAAGGTCGTAAAATACGGAAAAAAAGTGATTGTCCAGTCGAAAATTTTGCTTACGCTATAACTTCGTCAAATCAAATGCAAATAAACTTAAATTTTTACCAGAGCTGTCTTGATATGAGTACTATCCATGATAAAAATTTGAGCTTGTTTAAGTTCAGCATTCTTCAGCAATAGTTTATTCTTTAGACATAGACAAAACGTCATCGACCGTTTTTCAAAAAGGTTTTGCTACCGAAGATGGTCCGTTTGGAGGGTTCTCTACGGTTTCGTGAAGTAGACCCAGAGTACTACCATGAACCGTCGTCGAATTTTTGGGGAAATGATGGAAAACACTCGGGGGCCTCTTGTCAAAAACGGTCAGCGCACCTCGGAAAAACCTGAAAATTTTTCTTTTAAAACCTATTGCATTATATGTCATTCGACGCAGAATTCTGCGCAAACAGATTTTTAACATTAAATTTTGATTATTCAGAGATGTTTTTACGAAGCTCTCGATATTTCGCCTTTGCAAACCTTTTCGGAAAACAAAAAGACATGGACTAGAAAGAGAATTTTACGCGGATTTCGAATATCAACTTATTTTTGAACGATGACCTTTCCTTCACTCTCTGGTCGCAATTCTTTTTTACCAACTTTTAGAATTATATAATTTTGGCTTGCCACGAACGAAGGACAGGATGTACTTTTTCCGTATTTTACGACCTTATTTGCAAGCGCTCTAGCGTCGAGGGAAAGCACTTTGCAAAAGAATGTCAAGAGACAAAAATGTTCAGGACACATTTCGCTATCTGCTCCGAAAATTTGAGAAAAATTTGTGAAAGTTCATTGAGCACGGTATGTAGGAAAAGTACGTTTCTATCGTGCACTGCCTCATAAGAAATATCTTGATTGCGATTTTCAAATACAAGCAACAATTGATGATTTAAAACAGAAAGATGGTACCAGTTGATAAGTGGGAAGGTATTGAACGTGGTTTATTAACAATTTAATGATCATTTGGTGAAAGTATATTTCAAAGAGGCGTTGAATTATTATTAAAAAGATGGAGAGAAATACCTGATCTTGTTATATTTGCTAATTATTTTGAACAACAATGGGTTGTTGATTTAAAATATTGATATGAAGGTGCTGCTATGGGAATTCCAAGTACAAACAATGGATTGGAATCTTTAAATGGTAAAATCAGACAAATATATACACTTCGAAGTAAGCTTCCATTGTCATCATTTCTTCCAACAATTGTTTCAATGCTTCAAAACTGATCTCATCAATCAGTTCATAACGGTTTTACCATATACCCAATTATTGATACAGCAGCTGAAGCTCAAGCATGAAAATGGTTACAAGGTCTTGATAAAAATGCTGTTATACATTGTTATCAACATAGTTATGCTATTCCTTCATCACATCCAAGTAAAATGAATGCAAATGTATGGCTTCAACAATATACAACAATGTCATGGCTAATATTTGATGAATTTTCATCATGGTTATATTCTGAATGATTAGTTACAATACCAATGATGTGTGCATCAGAGCTCCTAATCGGGTGAATTTTTGATGGCCCGCCCGGAACAAGCCGGGCCAAGAAAAGTCGAGGCCTGCTCGACCCATCATGCGAATCGGTTGGCCCGACCCGGCCCGGGTGGTATTCTTTCCTGGACCGCCCGGCTCTAAATTCTTTTTAGACTCAATTCAATTTTGTCATGGCAAAAACACAGTAAAAGCTTTGCTAAAGATTAGTTCAGCAGCAGTATGAGTTAATTAAGACAACAGAAATAACTTTTTGGCTAGGTAATTTCAAAAACATATGAACAATAGCGAGAGAAAGAAGAGAAGGAAACATAAAACAAGGTTAGGAAAACAGATGTGGATCTTTTTCAAGTGATTTTTGAATTGATCGTCCAAATAATATATCTTCTACAGTATCAGGATTTAATGATGATCGTCGTTCATTAATTACAAGACCCGCGGCACTAAACTGCCTCTCGACTCCAGCAGACGTTGCTGGAATTGAATATAAATGTCGAGCAAGCTTTGCCAAATATGCACATATTCGAGAGTCTATTGTACAATAAACTCAATAATGGATAGAATTCCTTTACATGGTGTATTTGTTTCTTCTCCTAGTATCAGTCATCCGAATTGACCAGTGATCAAACTCTTTTTCTCAACAGAATTCACTAGATAATAGTAACATACTGTTACTAGGAAATAGCCAAATTTAACTGAAAATATGAAGAAAACTTTTAAAATTTCTCGGGCCGGGCCGGGCCGTAAAAAACGCTGACCCGACCGAGCTAAAAACTTTTCTCTGACGGCCCGCCCGGTCCGAGAAAGAAAAGCGAATGGCTCGGCCCGGCCTGGTCCGAGGCGGGTCGGTCCCGGGCCGGCTCATCGAGTCGGGTGGATCGGTAGGAGCTCTGGTGTGCATGTAA